GGACATAGGGGAGGGTTTGGAGTGCAGAAAGGGAAGAGAGAGATGGTGCAACTCCATTACATTTTCAAAATTAAAAGAACAAGAGAATAGATTAAAATGAAAGTTGACTACTGTCACCTCTAAATGTAGGGTAAGTGAATTATTTTTGTTGTTTACTGCTCTGTAATCGCAACTCACTGAATTAGGGATAAGTGTGATTTTAAAATCAAAACATAACTAAATATTTGAAATAGTATAGATAAAAGGATATGTGACTTCTCTCTTTTTCCCTCTCACTACACCACATTACAGGAATAATAACCCACAACCTTAGGTTCTCAAGAAAGATGAAACACAGGTTTTCTTTTCAGCAGCAAAGACTTGAGTAAGGTAGCCACACATTCCCCCAAAATATATGGAGATAAACAAACTTTAGAAGAAGCTATTCTTGTAAACATAAGTTCTTAAATGATTACTTTTCAGCTCGACACCGATGAGTAGGAGACTTAGCAAGGTTTGGGGCTTCCATATAGGAAGAAGAATAAATTAACTTTCTCTTCCTGAATAGCTGCTTTCTGCAGCGTTAATAGAAAAACGCCACACACATGCCAACAGTAGACTCTCTGTTAGCACCTCAAACAGCCTGCCATTCAGAAACTAGTTATTATGGGCTTTTCATTGGTGATCACATAGCTGTTCTATTATTACTTCTAATCAAAATGTAATTAAATACTAAGCAAGTCGTTTGCAATTTAGGTCAAGTCCAAGGATTAGAAACAGTGGACAGAATAGGAAATGCCATGGTAAACTGTTAATGAATGTAACACTAATTAATTGACATAAATTGTGATCTGAATGAAGCATGAATATTTTAAATGCACTTTCAGAGGTCATTGTGTTTTATGGTTGTAATTATTGATATTCAAAGGCAAGCTTAATGTCAGCCTTTTGAGAACTAGAAATTGGTCATAATTTTGAAAGTCATTTAAATGTACTTATTTTAGAAAGAGACTCCATTTAATCATTTTATTTCTACTTAATTATTTATAATTTAGACACTGGGGTCAGTCTTGTTCACTCAACTTTCTACTATTAATTTATTGAGAACCAATTTTGTGCTAGGTTCTAATAGTGTTTAGGGGGACATTTTTATCAAGAAAATTGAATAAAATTTACTATGGTTGATTTTTTATTCTAACTTGGAAAGTCAGGCATTGAACATCATAAATAAATAAATTATGATTTTTGGAAGATATATGTTACAGAAAAAAATGGATGGGGAAATTTAAATAAGGTGTTTGTGCCAAAAGATATGCAAATTTCTACAGAGAGAGGAGGCTGTCACTCAATAAGGATCATCTAGATTTGCTATTGACTGATAGAAAGATAAAACATTCAAGACAAGGACAATCCCAGTGAACAGGGTGCCAGGAATCAAGGCTAGCTTTGTGTGCTGCCTGCTTAAAACTAACTTGTCCAAGAAGCCTAAAACTAATGTATGGCACCTGGGCATCCAGCTTTGTTTGTGAGCCATGAGTCTACACTTATTCACTCCTTCGATGGAATAAAGTCTATACATACACTGAGCACCCAGCAATAGAGAGAAGTGGGATTTGCTCATGGCCCTTTTCTGGAACACAGCTTGAGGGCAGATTGTTGCATGTATTCCTGAGTCCAAGCCCTAGGTAGCAGGCTTCCTTTAGACCCCCTCAGCCACAGTGGCCTGCCATGCCTTCCTACCTTCCAGCTGTGCTCTCTCTGTGCCCCAGAGATACATGCAGCTCTGCTCCTCTCAGATGGGAGCTGCCATCACCCTGAGCCCTCCCCACTCCCTACCTCCCTACCTGGTTGATACCAGTGTGCCTCTAAATACACTTTAAGAGGGCAGGAGTTAGTTTACTGGTGAACTGAAAGCTAATCTCTCCTGATGGTATGAGAGAAGATGTATTCTCTGGCCATCTAAACATGATCTCAGTCAAGGCAATAAAGGAGAGAGGAAATAGAGCTCTAGATTTTTTTTTCTACTGGCCTCTCACCTTGGAGGAGTACTTTAGTTTTCTATAAAGTGAAACTTCATGTGCATGGGCAAGTAAAACTGTACACACCACACCACACACACACAGACACACACACACACACACACACACACACACACGAGGTGAAACAGAGAAAAGAGGGAACGATGCATGAAGGAAAGGAAACGGAAAGATTTAACCTACTCCCTGTTTAGGTTATTTGTCGTGAATCTCTCCCTGGGTTTAGTCTGATACAGTAAATGTCAAAAACCCATGGCTGAAGAGCTTCTACCATGGGAAAAAATACTGCTGTTGTCACCATCATTATTATTATTTTGCTAAATGAACATGACAGGTCAGCCAAATTGTCTTCTAAATAACTGTGCTTATTCTTTGTGTTGGTACTGCTCTCATTTTGAGGCATAGAAGCTTCTTTTCAGGATTCCATGGTAACTGTAGAGATGCACAAGTAAGCAAAGGGCTTAGAATAATTGCTGAATTCTCAGCCAAAAAAAATGGGACATCTATATCACCCCTCTGAGACTCAGAGACTATCAGAGAAGAATGTATGAACTGGAGGGAAGCTGAAGGTGGGAGGAATGGGGAAGAATGCTGGCTTCTCATCATGACTTAGCTGCTTCAGTCCTGAACTCATGGTAGGTGCTATTACCCACACAGCCTGGGGCCCATCAACATCCTGTTATGGGGACTGAAATGGTCTCAGAGTCCCCACCACTACTAAAGATTTATAAGCAGATAATGGTTGATGAGAAAGGGAAGGACATTTTCCTCAGTGATATAGTTTCTGATAGCTGGCCATGGTCCTGTAAACAAATCTTCTCCTATGCTCTGTAAAAAGCCTTAGTGATAGAGTCAAGGGATCACACACCAAAGTAGTCAACGAAGTAGAAGGGAGACTAGTGGTTAAGAGAGGAGAGTGAGTGGGAGAAGTAGGGCCTCAAGAGAGGGTAATGAAAGGTGAATATGATTGGAATACATTATCTACATGTATGAAAATATGATGAACCCCGTTGTTATATATAATTAATATGTACAAATAGAAAAGTTGAGGAAAACATTTCTAAATTTTCAAAACTATGATCCCACTTAAGTAATTTAGGAATTGTGCTCTGTTGCCGAGACATTTTCAGGCTGTCTTCTTAACACCATCCCTTTCAATAGAAGAGAACATACAGGTTATTTCACCAAGCTCTAAGAACAAAACTGTCATTTTTAGTTTCTGAGAATGGTAAAAATACTCTCAAGAAGTTCAGGGTTGAGTAAAGGAATGGCTAAAGTCTTTTTACCAAACACAGTGTGAGCTGGCATTGCCTGTAAGTCACCACTGTGGATTCTACAGCCCTTTGTTGGCATGGCATATGCTAGAGGAAGGTGGCATCCCTCAGGTGGGCATCACCCTTCAGATCTGGATCAAGCACATCAGAGTGAAATGTGAGGAGCGTGCATGCTGTTGAGGCTGCAGGAAAAGCTGACTTTGCAGAGAAAAACGGGGAAGCAGGGCAAAGCATGATAGCAGGACAGCTATCAGCCCACCCTCCCAGAATCACTGTGGGAATAAGTGAAGCTGGCTCCTCAGACATGGACCCTGGGAGCCTTTTAACCCTCCTTTTCAAGAGCCTACTGTTGCCCTTGTAGAAAGCCTGTCTGACAAATAAAATGCCAGAGGAAACTGTGGTCTCTTTTCTATTTTCAAATCATAAATAAGCCTCATTTCCTGGAAAAGATTGTCTAGACAGAGTTATTACCCCTTGAACAAGCCACAGACCTGGCCTTTAAGAATCTTACTTGAAGATGTAAGAAATGCCTAACCACTCAGACTTTTAGAGCCTGGGGGTGAAAGCTGCCAGGCATGATCAATGGATGCCTGCTCTCTCAGGTCAGAGCCCCTAAGCATGACTATTAAAGATGCCAGTTCTCATTGTGATAAAACACGTTCTCAAAAAGCCACGGGAAGGAAAATTATAGTAATCAATACAGATCAAAATGAAACCATACAGAGCCACAGAACGACGAAGTACTATATAAACTCACTCATGTATGGAATCCAAAAGCAAGCTGAATGGCAGTGGAGGGTAGGACGGAGAACGTTGTTCAGTGAGTACTAAAGATAAAGGTAGCTCTAACAATAGGATCAGGTATCAGCTTTTTAGAGACTGATTTAACTTCTTAGTGTGTTTTACTTGTATAAATGTCAGAGGATTACATCCAGGCAGTATTCCAGAGTCCAGAGTGCATCAGCTCTCCTCAAAACTAGAGTTGCAGATAATGTAGGCCACCAAATGGATGATGGTAACTGAACCCAGATCCTCTGTAAGAGGAGCCCATGCTCCTAAGCATTGTGGCATCTCTCCACCCAATATACTGTAGATTTAAAAATGCTAGGAAAAAGGAGTTTGATTATTTTCAACATGAGCGACAAATGTTTGAAGAAAGACATATAAATTATTCTTTGGTGACTTAAGTCATGATACAGATGATTCAGCTGTTTTACATCATACACATGTGTCAAATATCACAGGGTACCCCTTAAGTATGAGTGATTTTATTCTTTTATGTTTCAGTTAAAAATTGCTTTTAACAACAGCAAAAGGAATCCTGTTTATCAGTGGTCAGGCCTTGCTGAAACTAAAACTGTGAAATTTCAACTTCAACTCCATCAAGGAACCCAGAGAGCAGATTAAAAAATTAGAGGTAGCATATGCAACAAGCTTCTCAGCTGAACAATAACCAGATAAACACACACACACACACACACACACACACACACACACATACACACACACACACCACACATACACACACTTTATAAACGGTCATTTAGGAGGCAGGCTTTATACACTGAAAGGATAAAGGTGAAGAGACAACTTGACTTTTGAAACCTTTTTGAAGGTGTCATCATGAACCCTCCCAACTGCTTCTTCTCTGGGGCAAAAACCAACTGACAGTGCATGTCCCCACTCTGATTTCTTTCGAATCTCCTTGTAGGGGTATTTGCATTTGGACTTTTTGCTACTGACATTTTTGTAAACGCCGGGCAAGTGGTCACGGGTCACCTCACACCCTACTTCCTGACAGTGTGCCAGCCAAACTATACCAGTACAGACTGCCGGGCACACCACCAGTTCATCAGCAACGGCAACATCTGCACCGGGGACCTGGAAGTGATCGAACAGGCGCGGAGGTCCTTCCCCTCCAAGCACGCTGCTCTGAGCATCTACTCCGCTTTATACGCCACGGTGAGTAGCGGGTCTGACTGTCTCCCCAAGCTGAGATTTGATAATCCCGCACCTACACCCTCCCAGTTTCTAGGTGGGACAACTTCGGCCTCGTGAGTGCCTAAGAGCTATGGCAAAGCTCCCACCACCGCCACAGTTTTAACTGATTCCTCAGCAGCATTCCTTCCTTGTGTCTACCTGTAGGTTTTCGAGTGTGGACTTGGGCGCGTGACTGGCATCACAGTGCACGGGCCAGGATTAAACATATGTATCCTGCCCTCTTGTAACGTTCTTTACTGCTTTGTTAGGAGTTGGATAATTCTAGAATTTAAGACCCCAAACTTCACTTCTCACTCCTGCCCGGATTATATGACCGTTGATCATCTAGGGCATTATGACCTAGCAGGACATAATTTATCAATAATAATCATAGTGGTAGTTATTAAATTATTATTGAGTGTTAATATAAATAATGTTACTAATTATTACAATTATTAAAATTGTTGTAATTAATTAATTAGCTCTCATCAGAGGAAAAGTGATGGCGTTTTCTTATTTTTCTGCGTTTTAATTAAAGTCCATGTTGGAAATGTCATATTTCATCTTTGTCTGATCTAACTTCCTTTGAACCCAGAACTCAGAAGCACAAGCGTCGGCTTGAACACACACACAAGCCAATTCCACAGAATCGGTGTGTTCCACCAGTAGAAGTAGTCATTGTTCAGAGAACCCCTTAGTGAGTCTCGGTGGAGCATGGAGAAGGGAGACAGAGCTGTCTCCTTTCAAACCACCTAGATATTCTGGGGTGCCCTCATCTTACTCCCTCAGCCCCATCTGCAGGGGGCAGCATCCATTCTTCAGCCAACCACTGCGGGAGACGCATTCTACCTCTGTGCCACTGAGTCCAGTCTGGGCCTCAGTTGCAGATGTGCAGGCAGACATGAGACTAGTGTCTTGCTCTGGAACCACACTGCACATCTGGACCACCCCAAGGCCCTCTTCCTCGAGGCTTCCTCATCACCTGGCCCTCAGCAGATGTGCAGGCAGACATAAGGCTAGTGTGCTGCTCTGGAATCACACTGCACATCTGGACCACCCCGAGGTCCTTTTCCTCGAGGCTGGAGACAGGTAGTGCAGCTGAACCACAGCTCATCTCTGATGCTCCTGACCATCCTGCCTAGCTGCTGGGAGTTTTCTAGTTAATCCTTTGGGATCTTCTCTGTAATGACTACATGTCAAAATTAATCCAGCTACCCCCATGTTAAGGAAGCACAAATACAGAGAATATAAATCTGCTGTCACCTGCTTAAACGTCTCTTTCTTCCTTCCTTCCTTCCTTCCTTCCTTCCTTCATTCCTTCCTTTCTTTCTTTCTTTCTTTACAAAACAAAGAGGGGAAATAGGCCAGAAATCCCCTGGAGCACTTAATGTGTTTTCTAATTTTCAGAATATGGATTTGCTCCTAAATGAACTAGAGCATAATTTGTATAAAGTCATGTGCTTCTGCCACCCGCTTTCGTCTTTTGATCAGATTCAAGTCACCACTGTGTGAAATTAATCTTGATAATGCCATTATACAAATAAATCGGTAACTTAAACCAGTGTGTCATCTTCAAATGAGACCTAAACATCAGTGGCAGCAGGAAGAGCCAAAGATGGTAGAGACACACAACACATGCAATGCAGGCATCTTCCGAAGATTCAGTTATTAACCCATTCAAATCAGGTTTCACACTCAGTTAGATAAACCCGGATACAACATTCCAACCGGGTAAACAATTTCTGTTGTGTGCTAAATTATGCTTTCAGGATTACTCAAGACTGATGGATATGCTAATTGCCAGGGCTTGATCTTTCCATGCTGCATAGAGGTACTGAAACACTACACGGTGCACATAAATATCTGTTGGAGGAAACCGCTTGCTGGTTCCAGGCTGCTTAGCCTCGAAATAACCACACAGAAACTTGTATTATTTAAATCACTGCTTGGCCCGTTAGCTCTAGCTTCTTATTGGCTAACTCTTACATACTCATTTAGCCCATTTCTAGTAATCTGTGTATTGCCACATGGCTGTGGCTTACCAGGTAAAGTTCCATCTGGCTCCGGCAAGACTACATGGCTTCTCTCTAAATCTGTCTCCTTTCTCCCAGCATTCAGTTTAGTTTTCCCCACCTAGCTCTATTCCCCTATAGCTCTGCTACAGGCCCAAAGTAGTTCCTTATTAACCAATGATATTCATAGCATACAGAGGGGAATCTCACATCAAATATATGCTATTGTTATGTGCCAAATAGGAAGAAAATGCTAATAAAAGCATTATTCAATAGTTGCTTTATAGGTACCAGTTCATATGGCAAAGGATACCAACTAGGGGGTCTATGTTTGTAATGGTTAATATTTTTAGAGGAAAGATCCATAAAAGACATACTTAGAAAGCAATATATAAGCATTAAAAATCAAACTGAACAAATATAAGTAACAATTCCCACCATATCAGGATACTACAGTATTTTGCAATCTGTGTTACTCTGAGCTACCAGATTTTTGTGCGGCTCATGCTACATAGAATAAAGAGTCTATTTTATCCCACCAGTATTGATGCTAGTATTGAAGCATCTTCCTAAAAATTATCTTCCCATGTAATATTGCCAGGTGCATCGATGTGAATGTATTTGTGCTCAAGATAACCAACAGTCTATAGATTATAATCTTAAATATCTGCCTTTCCTTGTGCCTTTTTAGAGTTACTGAACTCACCATATTTGATAAGAAATGATGTAGTCCCCAGACCCACATGGGAAGCTGAGGCAGGATTGTAGTAAGTTTAAGACCAGGCTGGACTATGTAGAAGTCCATCCAAAAGGAAAAAGGAGACATGGTGGGTCACTAGTGTCCTCTGCTGGTGCATTACAGCAATTACCGAAATGATGACGTCATTTGCTAGAAGCAGGTTTCTTAATTCTGGACATCAGGGGTGATAATGACATTTGAGAACAGCAGCCCACATTTCAATTGGCAGTGAGCACATCTTTTGTTTGGTTCAGGTCCCTCACTCTTTCACATATTTGGCAGTGAGCACATCTTTTATTTGGTTCAGGTCCCTCACTCTTTCACATATTGTGCCACACAGGAGAGATGAATGTTTAAAACACTCTGGAGGAGAGAGATAGAGCAGACCACAGCTGTCCCTGATGTGAGAGAGCCAACTTCCAGAACAGCAATGACCCATCGTCAGGATTGGGCCATTCAAATTAGGTCCATCGGTCAGTCGGTGAACAATTTCATAGCACGGTCCCAAAGTTTGCAGACACCACTAGTACTATGGGGAACAGCGAAGAGTAAGATGCGAAGTCTCTCATCTCCCTGATATCCTCTGCCACAAACTCATTCAAAGAAAAGGTTTAATTGATACCCAGGATTTTAAATGGGTTTTTAAGCAGCATCACACAATTGTCTGGTTCTTTACATGAAAGCTGTGTGTTCTGAAACCAGCCATTATCCTTCGGCTATTCCTTCTTCAATACAGCTTCTGTTCACACACTCATTTCGATGTGAAAGTAACTAACGACCACATGTTCATTGTCATCGCTGAACTGTTTCCTGTCTAACTAACTAGCTTCATGAAGCTGTCCAAGGAGATGTAGCTGCTATGGCTCCCTTTGTCAACGCCCATTTCTGACCTGGCACATGAGTGCCTTCATGTGGATGCAGCAGGACAGGACGGCCTGCCACTCACTGGTCTCTCTCCCGCTGCAGATGTACATCACAAGCACAATCAAGACCAAGAGCAGTCGGCTGGCCAAGCCAGTACTGTGTTTGGGGACCCTCTGTACAGCCTTCCTGACGGGCCTCAACCGGGTCTCAGAGTACCGGAACCACTGTTCTGATGTGATCGCCGGTTTCATCCTGGGCACTGCAGTGGCCCTGTTCCTGGTAGGTGGGCCTTCTTCTCTCCCCTTCATCCCTTTTATGTCTTCTGGGTAAAGTCACAGTGTGTTGAGTTTCCAAGATTCCAGTCTGAGTTATTATTCCTCATGTCCCTGTCTTCTGAGCTGCAACTGTCCAGAGAATGTGCATGCATTTCTGCAAGAACAGAACCAAGGTACCTTCCTTTGAGAGGTCTGACTGACCATGTGTATTAAGTCAAGGAGAATACTCACCCCGAGAAAGAGAGCTGTGTTGTTCTTCAAGCTCTCAGCTTGGCCAGGAAGAGAAACAACACGGTACATGCTCAAATGAGTGTTCCAGTATTGACAGTCAGAGTCCAGGGCTCAGGAACTACATGTTTCTAGATAAAGGGCAGAGGGTAAAGGCCACTGGTAGGTCAGGCTCTCTCCTACAGCACTGCAAAAAAAATAAAAATAAATAAAAAACAAAGTGGACGTGGACCCAAGAACTGTCTTAGTGTATATGTACCTCCTCTCACAAATACGGAAAGCCTGCCGCTAATCTCTTGCCTTTTAGAGGCCTCTTGGCATCTTATTTCAGCTAAGCGGCATTTACATTTGACCTCCCTGAAGAATGTGGGCAAACATAGCTGCCTCCGTGTCTTCACAGCCCTGAGGATGTTTTAGTTCTTCAAAGAGATGGACACCTAGCTATGTGCTCGTCTGGAAAATCCCTTAATCTGGCTTGGCCTGGAAAAGAGGAATCTGTGCTCATTTTTATCTTGTTTTATCCAGTTTTATTGAAGTGTGGTAGGATATGGAGGTACACAATGTCCGATGTGATGACCTTGGCTTCTCTGTTGCTTTTTCTTTCCCCTTCACCTCGGGGAGCTATTGAGGTCTAATTTGTTTTTCTACTTTTGGATTTCACATAAATAAAATCACATAGTATGTATTTTCTGACATTTTACTTCCATAATAATTTTTATCTGGAGACACGTTCATGTTGTAGAATACAACAATTCATTTCTTTCTAATGCTCTGTAATATTATATTTCTAGGGCATACCGGAAGGGTGCTGTTTTGTTCTTGGGTTGGTTGTTTTAACAACAGTTCACCAGGCAGATAAACTCACATACTCTACATAAAATAATACCACTGTCAATACTAAGACCCTTTCCAAAGAAGAGAGGTCACTTAAATCTGCAAGGACTTTCCACCCTTTATAGTCCAAGGCCCTTTAAGACTAGCATCGCACATACATTCATTTTATACTCATATATTCCTGTGACTTAACTCTTTTTTTTTCCTTTCTACTCTCACTATAAAGGCAATACATGTGTGACTATCCCAGCTCCATCTCAGCTGACCATATTTTTTTTCCTGAAGATGTTCACACACTTCTTTAGAACATGCTTTGTTGTCACTCAGCATCCCCTCCATCAGCTCCCAGCTTCTTTTTTATAATGGGAAAAGAGGAGAGGCGGGAGGGCAAATTCTCTAGGTGAAGTCACAGAGGAAACACTGGAATGCTCCATGATGCTGGTAGCTCATTAGAGAGAGTCCCTGGGAAAGATTTTGAAAGAAAGCAGGAATTACATGTAACTTCTAGAGAACAGCGTATTTCCCAAAGGAACTCACTGGTACATAAACAAAGACGGGCTCGGAAGAAGAGTCGAACAGTCTTAACATCCAGCATCTATCTGGAGTGCACTATCCCCAGCCGAGAAGAAATGGCCGTGTAGACTGCCCACACAGTTGCATGGAGTCTTTGAGGGATGATGTCCATGAAAGCCTGAGGGCTGCTGGGTGCCATGTGCAGATTCTGCCTTAAGATTAGACTTGCTTTTTCTTAGTTGTTTGCAGTTTTTCCCTACCCCTCAGTTATTGTTTAGTCTGGTATTGCATCCAGTGGTTTGACAATTGTCAATTTTGCATCCATCCAATGGTTTTTACTTAAAAATCCTGATCTGCTCTTGAATTGCTGTCTGCTCACTTGCATGCATATGTCTACACACATCACAGAGATGCACATCAAGCTGGGAACAGAAAGGAGAGTGAAGTCAGAGGGAGAGTGGAAGTAACCAGAACAAATATCTGGGGAGGAGACAGAGAGAAGCAAAAACTGAGGACGTCAACATAATCTTTGTTCGCCTTCCATACTGCTGTCAGTATCTGTTTCCCATGAGGAATAAGAGGGAAAAAGGAAGGAAACTGTTACCTGAGCAATTACTGCATGCCCTATACTACAAATACCTCAACTTGTGAGTTCCTAGGGCACCCAGCAATATTTTATCTTCATTTCATTGTTCAGAAAATTGAGCCTCAAAATATATAAGGCTGTGACACCTTCACCTTCTACCATTTCCTAAGAGGTCAAAGTTTGAAGCATAGCTGTAGTGTGAGGTGGAGGTGAGCCAGGTAAAAATGTTTGTGCAAATGTTCTGTATGGTTTAAAAATTACAGAAAAGATTTAACATATAAACAGAGATGCAGAATAACAAGAGAAATTATAAAAAAGATGATGATTAATTCAACACAGGCAGAGAAGATAGTAAGAAATTTATGACTCAGGTAGGAAGTAAGAAAAGTAGACAATCTTTCACAGGAAAGCTTTTAATGGATGGATAGATAGATAGATAGATAGATAGATAGATAGATAGATAGACAGACAGACAGACAGATATTGCTTGTGAGCTGCTTAAGCCAAATAAATAATAATGACATAACTTGACTATGATCATTTTAGGCAGAAGTTAAGCATCAGCCACTATGGGCTCAGTGCTTGCTGTGTTTGGTACTCAAGAAGTAAAATAGTCTAAGTGATGAAATTTTGAGGGATTTAAACTCTGCCTGTCCAAGCTGGAGAGACTAGTAGCAACTCACTTCTTACTCTTGGAAGTGGTTGGCTAGATAAATAAAAAGTTAAGTTAGACACAGGTCACACCCAGGTCACTGCCAGGTACACAGCAACCCCTGTCCTGTGTTTGCTGTGATTATGAAGTGACTTACATTTATCACGCTGTCACAAATCTGTATGGTTAAAGCACCCAATCCCATTTGGCAGCTGAAGAGATGAGCTCTGTGGAGTGGGCTGCCTGTCCCCAGCCACCCTGTGAATTTGCCTCACCAGGATATGCAGTGTGCTCAGCACACACCTCAAACCTTACTCTTGGTCTCCCATAATTCCAAGGGAATACATCACCTTCATGATATCAAGGACAGTGGCCTGCCACACTCAGAGATGACAAGACACCGCCTGCTGGAATCTGACCCTAATCTCTGCCCCGCCCCCTCATCCTGCAGGTAATGTGGTTCACAACGTCCCACTGGAGTCTGACTCCAATTTCTGTTCTTCCCCATCCTACAGGGAATGTGTGTGGTTCATAACTTTAAAGGAACGCAAGGCTCTCCTTCCAAACCCAAGCCTGAGGATCCCCGTGGCGTGCCCTTGATGGCTTTCCCAAGGATAGAGAGCCCTCTGGAAACCTTAAGTGCACAGGTATAGTAAAGTGACTTTAGCAAGCAAACCCATGACCTTGGCAGGTTGTCTATTTAATCCTGAGGATGTGCTTAATGTTGTTCAAATTAAACCCAAGCAGCTTTGGGGTACTTTGGCCTCTCATGTACAATCAACATTCATGAAATTTGAATTATTCAAATAAGTCAGTGTGATTAAGAACTGAGTTGTTTCTTGTGCAGTTCCATTTTCCTTTGTGACAGAGTATAGGGGTCCAAGTTTTGGGGGAATACAGAGGTTCAAGGTTCACAAATTCCCCTTGTAGCATGACATAATGTTTGCATGGAGCTTGCACAGGTTTCATACATTCATTTATCTCTCTTCACTTGCGATGCCTATGGCAATGCAAACACTAAGTAAATAGCTGTCACGCAGGACTGTTGAAGGAATGCCAACACAGAAACAGTGCTGTACGCATTCAATTTCCCAGATACTTCCATCTGTGACTGCACAGAAACATGGCTGCAGGACCCATGGATAGATGGAAGGCCAACTGTGTTTGGAAGGACAAAGATGGTGTTCCATCTACTGACTAGTGGCAAGCTAGAGGTACAGAAGCTGTCCTGATAGCAATCACAAAGTCAACACAATAGCACTTTTTGGTTAGGTGTTCTCCAGCAAGCCCTTCATCCACGCGTGAAGTCTAAGCCGTCATTAGACACGTGGCCTTAGCTCTCCAGACCTGTGATGACTGGGAAAAGTGGAATAAAGCTGGCACGGTGTGCTGTGCTGAATGAGGTGCACCGTGGGGAAACATGTTATAATAAATACCTACTCTGAGAAGACAAGAAAAGCCATGGAGAGGGCCAAGAAAAGCCGTGGAGAGGGCCATTAAAGAGACCTAGACAGACAGTACTCAGGGCTTTCGCCATGGCAGTCTCAGGACCATCAAAAGATACTCGTATGTGAACAACAGCATATAGAACAGGCATTAACCAGTGCCCATGTGCTTGATAAGAACTAAAATACTGGAGTCAGCACTGTTAAACTACTTACCCCAGGTACCCAGCTGGTGTGTGTTTGGGGGGGGTGATGAATAAATATTCTTAAATGAACAAGAGAACAGCATCTTTTAAAAAGTCTTTCTAAAAGGTTTCATTTGAACACCCTTCTTTTCAGGCATCTGGAGTACTAGTTGACGAAATATTTTTTGTAATATCTGCTCGTCTTGAAATATAAGGGATAGCACTGTAGTTCCTATTGGAATTTCCTAGTGGAAATCAGCTATTTCTCCCTAGTTAGATATTGACTATCACAAGCTCTTCTCTGTCTTTTGAGCTTTAATGAAGTCTAATTTCATTAGTGAACCGGGTGTGGGGGAAGCAATAAAACTCTTTCTCATATGCACCAAGCATATTTGTCTACTATTTCCTTATCTCCCATAGAGGAATACATTGAGGAGAAGTAATACTTTGGTGTTTTATTGTTTAGGTGGGTGCCATTATTTGTTTGAGAGGCAGCATGAAGTCGGGTTGGCAGAGAGGGAAAGGATCTGGGGAGAACTGGGGGAAGGGGAAAATATGGTCTAAATACATTATAAGAAAAGTTTAAAATATTGAAAATTTAAAAAAATTCAAGAGATCGACAAGCTTGTCTGAAAGACATTTCAGGAATGGTGAGAGTTTGTGGAAGTCAGTCAGCTCAGCTTTGACGTTCTGCCTGTTGCTTGCTCTACAGAATCACTCGGCCTCCATGACCGAAGTAACCTGAGATGAATGAAGAGAAGCAGCTGTGTTTGGTTTCTTTCTTTTTTTTTTTTCAACAACCTTCCAGTTCAATACTTCAGAATCCACAGTGACTCAGTCAAACTGTGAAGACAAGTATTATGTTTATCTAGTTAGAGGCTAATGTTTTGTACATTTTTTTGTATTAAAAAGTGATGTAGCTTGCCCTGATCTTTTTTTGTCAGCTTTAATATATTTATGCCAGAATTTTAAAACCAATCAAGTTTTTCTCTCGTTCAAGTGTGCATTGAAGAATCACATATATTCAGTGGTTGATGTTGTTTTGTGATATTTGTACACAAATCTTTTCTCAGTTTTATAGACAGAAATAAAGTGAGCGACCCACTTTTAACCTTTATTACCACAGTTGCTGCCTCCTCCAGAACCTCTGAATTTTAATGAGAGTTAAACTTTTGAGTGACAGGAACGACCATGGTGGTTAATTATAAATTTCAAAATCAATAATGGGGGGGAAATATTTGGAGAGAACAGCATGTTCTGTTCTGTTCATAGTTTTTTGCGTTCCAAGTTAAAGTGACAGTGGCAGACTAGCGAAGATTCCTAGTTTACTAACTAATGACACAGACGCCAATATTGCAGGGGGGTGTTCTGGTTATATAACTCTTTCTTAGTTCATGCCCTTGCCCACCGAAGGAACTCAAGGTCGGTCTGGAGTTCTGTCCTTGGGTGGGCAGGTGACCCTATAGCCTTCGATCCAAAAGAGCAGCTAGCACCAGCCTTTCCTGCCAACTCAACGGTTTTGTATTCATACTGTATGGACTTTTTATGATGAAGAATATTTTACAGTTTGCACAGTATTATTTTGCAGAAAGGATATCAGAGCCTCCGCAGCACAGCGCCCAGACCAACATCTTCACTTGGGAGCTTCTAACTGTTCCTGGGCTTTAACTGCATCCCATTTTCTAGCATGGTGATAATATGTCCCTCCTTTGAGAAGGAGTTCCCTATCTGTATCTATCAAAATGTTTTCTTGACACATCCATGTCAGCTCTTCTTAGCTTTTTTGTACATATTTTTTTTCTAAATAGAAGAAAAAAGTTATCATAAAATATATTCTGACTCATGTCCTTTGTTTGACTTTTCACTCAGTGGTGTTTGAGAAGTCATGGAGTGACCCGCAAGGGTTTGCTTTTCATTTCGTGTGCTGAGATTAAATGAACCCTAATAGGAGCATGACTGAAAGGCCATTCGGAGAGAGAAGGAAGTAGGGAGAGAGAGTGAATGGGGCTGGGTATGCAGTGTGTGCATGCATATGTGTTTAGATAAAATGAAAAAAAGCCTTTAATTTATTAATATATTCAAATGTACTTCCTGGATTCCTAGTGTGATACCTTAGTCTTCAGGCATGCCCTGGAACTTCTGAGTTTTCAATAAACACTTAATCTTCTTTTAGAAACGGGAGTTACCTCTGCTAAAACTTTCCTTGGTTCCATTTCCTCAACAGTTTCCCCAAACTCTCTTAGATACATTCATATATATCTTCTAAGAAATGTCTGACTAAAGTTAGAAGAAAAAAAAAAGGTGAGTAGTTGGGCTCTGCCTGCCCCGCATATATAATGCAATCTGCTGTTTTCAGTGCAACACACCCAGGGACGGTACACAAAGCTAAAACACTGTGATATACATCAGTCCTAGCACTGTGGTCCAGCTCTGCCTGGTTCTTATTGTTATTCTTTCTGTCATATGAAGATGCCTCTGAACCAAGTTAAGTTCTTTTTGGTGTGATATGTCCACTTAGATGACCCATGGATGTTATAGAGGAATGGAAATCCTAAGAGAGAATTATTTGCAAGCTCTGAACTCTCTCTGGTATGGGAAGTCCTTCTGTCTATGTTTTGCTCTTATTGGTTAATGAATAAAGATAGTGCTTTGGCCTGTGATGGGGCATCGTAGAGCTAGGCAGGAAAATTAAACTGAACGCTGGGAGAAAGAAGGTGGAGTCCCAAGGTGCCATGGAGCCACCAGAGGGGAAAGACACAAGCTGCTAGCCAGAACCTTGCCAGTAGGCCACAAGCCTTGTGGTAAAATATAAAATAATAGAAATGTGTTCATTTAAGATATAAGCGTGAGCTGGAAATATGCGTAAGCTAATAGACCAAACAGTATTGCAAATAATATAGTTTCTGTGCGTTTATTACAGGACCGGGCAGCACGGAAACCTCCACCAACATCTCTCCTCTCCTATAAGATAAATGTAGTGTCACCCAGTGTCAGGACGACTCATTTATTGCTTTAGTAGTGTCTCTCCTTACGCTCACTCTGCTCGGGTGGCCTCACATTGGTCATTATCCTCCATCTAGCTTGTGAGATTCCGTGCTCAGGTTTGGACTTCTCTACTTGCATTTGCTGCCAAGGACAAAGCTCTCTGTCCAAATACAACAAGCAGTAACTATAGGGTAAGAGAAACATTTTTCCTCCTCATTTTATGATATAAAAATGGCTGAGAACGTCAGGCTCACTGTAGAAGAAGATTGGAAAGAACCAAGACTAATAAAGTGTTTGATGTTGTACAACAATGAAACTCTTAACTGTAATGATATTTTATTTGTATTTTAACAAATAAAGTTTGCCTGTAGATCAGAGTGCAAAAATAAGCCACTAGAGGTCAGGCAGTGGTGGCACACACCTTTAATCCCAGTATTTGGTCGTCACATGCCTTTAATCTCAGCATGAAGAAGGTAGAGACAGGAGTGATATGGCTGGGTGCAGAGAGGAACATAAGGTAGAAGAGACAGAAGCTCAATGCAATCTGAGGTTTGGTGGAGATACATGCAGTCTGAAACAGTCTGAGGACAAAGTCTTCCCTTAGGTCTGAACACTGGTAGAGGTAAAAGAACTCGCTAGTAGCTGGCCGCCCTGCACTCTCATCTTCAGGCAAACTTTACTTTTATATTTTTATTTATACAAATAAAGCATCCCTGCACTTAATCTCATGGACACCCATGCTTTGATAACATGCCCATTACAGTAACTGACACAGAAAATATTTTGTTAAAGTTTACCCAACAAATAGATGCCAGATTTCTCCCTGACTTGGCTGAAGAGAGACTGGGGTTTATTTGGAAATAAGGGGACTTTTAATGGGGCCAAAATAACTTTTAAAAACTGTCATGCTTAGATACAGAAGTAATAATGGCAAAAAACATGCTCCACGCAGTTAAGACTTGTGAGTTCCCCTTGGTGAGCTCTGAAGATCCTTTCACTGGGCTATGATGGGCAGGAAGGCGTGGCAGTCCAAGTATTTGGAGAAAACAAATATCTTTAATCTGCCCTTGAAAGGAGTGGGTGTCATTGTAATGAATTAGCAAGAACTATAATTGGTATTTATGCTTTGGAAAATTGACTTTATTCTCTATAGCCACCTACAACAAGTGATATCTTAAAGGAAGACCCATCGAAAACCCAGTTCTCCAAATTTATCTCAAGAATTGGGTCCCACTAATGCTGCAATAGTGAGGAAGTTCAGAAAAGACAAAAAAAAAAAGTTGAAGTTCTATGACCAAATTTGGCCTGACTCCTTTTTCAGATACTTTTCGAGAATCTAGAATAAAATTAAATCTTTGTTTACAGTAAATACATCTTAAATTCCCCTGCAGCCCTGGAGACCTTGGGCTTTCCCTCCACATCGGCAGTCCCATGGAGAACCACCTTATGAGCTCACTTATGGAAAAAGATTTTTTAGTAGCGCCTTGAGAAGTAACTTCAGAAGCCACCAATGCTAGCGTGTGCAGCTACTGTACAGAGACTTAATGTGACTCTCTTTGGGAAGTCCACGATCTTATGTCTTACTTTCTTCCCAAGGTTTCTCTCTGTTTGACCCTGTTCTAAAATTGATTTTAAATGTCTTCTAAAAGCTGATGAAATGGAACCGTGGTCAAAGAGGCTTGCTGTCAAGTCAGATGATCAGAGTTCAATTCTGGGAACCCACATGGTAAAAGAGAATTGATTCCCAAGGGGACACCTCCACACATGTCTATCTTCACTTGTAAGCACACACATAATACATTTTTAAAAGTTTTTCTTAATACCCCCTCAACTCTGCTTTATACTGGCTCACCCTGAAATTCTTTCCTGTGGCAAAGCCAAGCATCCGGTTTCACTTGAGTGGAGTTTCCTAAAAGATAAGGAAGTCCTCGGTGTACTTCCTGTGGTCACTGGATTAACAAGAGAACCAGACCATGAGAGTCAAAAAGCAAAGCTTTCTTCAAGGTCTTTAGGGCTGCAGGGTACCAACTGCCAGGCTTTCCCCAAGAGAAAGGAAATCAGTCCTGCCAAAAGGAGTCTGAGTTTTTATAGGGTGCTTTTATATGGGTGTGTGGTGGTAGAGAGTTAAGGAGGAAAAGGAAACTTTAACAGGCAAAAGGGACTGCAGTAAGCAATATTTTATGGGTGTGCATTTTATGGGTGTCAGGGGATTGCTCTTACTGTTGAAGACAGCAGGAGGCCGTGGTCAAGCTGTTCTGCTCAAACTAGAGGGCAGCAGACTTCTGAGAAGTGTAGGATGATCAGTTTCTAGTTTCCTGAAGGGGCTGGGTCCCACATCTTGATGCCTTGGTGACTCCATCTTGGGCCAGTCTAACAGCCACCATGCTGACAATACTGTTCTTGCACTAGTGAATTCTACGTGTGCACAGAACTATTCTGCTACTTACTGTCGTTCTTTAGACTCCGTGACTATTTTGTAATAAACACCAAAACTTTTACTGACGTCGTACTTCTTGATCCAGGCTGTGCCAGCTTTGATCTGAGACTTCAGACATATTTAATGAACATCTATTATATACTCAGAATTGTGCTAATAACTAGGGATGTACAGCAAAATAAGTAGACCGGCTGCTTTCTTTCATGGGTTTGAGTCAATGAGAGAAAAAGAAGATACATGTAACAGGCAGGGGTGCTGGAGGTCTTCGGGCATTTCCAAGTTGTTTCCTTGAACAAAGAACTGAACTTCAGGAAATAGAGAACCAAGCTATGTGAGAAATGCAAAAGCAACCACTTTATTCCTTCAAGATTGAAGAGGCCCTACAGCTGGAAATCTAATAAAAAAGACGCTGGCTTGAGTATTTTATAAGGCCCCGGGGTTCCCTCTTTTCTCTGCTAGTCCTGTTTGGATACCCACCCATGAGGCTTCTTGCCATGCTTTTCTTACAAGGACTTCTAGGAACAAGAAGCTGTCATCCCTGGCAGCCTAGTTTCATTCCTCTTGTCTACCTGTGTCCCCCTAGCTCTTCTCCAACATCCCAAAGCCTTTAATATAAAGTGACTTGAAGAGATACTTAAGTTGGATGGGGACACTGGGGCATGAATGGAAAATAGAAGAGGCTACAGTGACACATATATGCAGCTCCTTAAAATAAATAAGGGATGATTAGATAGAATGCATATATAAAAGAATATCAAGGGGTTGGGGAGATGGATTCACATCTACTTGCAGCTCTAGCTCCAGAGGGATCTGATGCCTCCTTCCTCTATGGAGACGTGCACTTATGTGACTATACCCACAGACACACATAGAAACACATAAGTTAAAAAGCGCGTAAGTGAATCTGCAAAAGAACATGAAACCAAGAGAAAGCATATATAGGGGGTCTGAGGCATGAAGCAACTTTAAACACATGGAGGACTAAAGGAAGGATAATGATTATGGAATTTGTTAACTGGGCGTAAGAGACATTTGTTATGTCAGAGAGCTTGGAGGGCTTCTTATTGTTCCAAACTTTGAAATTTATCCTGATGCAACAAGAAGCCATCAGTAAGCAAGGGAATGCCACCATGAGACCTGTGTTTTTTAAACTTTTTTCAGGGTTGTGTTTTTAAAGGGTCCTTTTGCATTGGTATATAGAATGACTGAAAGGAGTCAGAAAATAGAGGTGAAATGGCCAAGTAAGGTACTGTTTTCTTTCTGGGGTTCATTTTTTAATTATGTGTATATGTGCATGTAGAGGGTGGGGGTATGTGCAGGTGATTGCAGGTGCCTCTGGTTTTGATATACCTGGCATGGAATATCAAACTTGACCCTCTGCGAGAGGCGTGCCTGCTCTTTACTTCTGAGCCATCTCTCCAGCCACAGGATGCTACCTTCTTGAGCAACGTGCTTGCCGTGACTTGAAGTAGGGTGGCAATAGCCATAAAAAAAAAAAGGCAGCTCAGAAGAGTATGAAAAATTGCTGAGGAGGCCATTGAATATAGACTCAATAGAGCCTAAGGCCTATTGGATATAGACTCAATAGAGCCTGAGGCCCAGTAGATATGGACTCAGTACAGCCTGAGGCCCATTGGATATGGACTCAGTAGCGCCATTGGAGATGGACTCAATAGAGCCCAAGGCCATTGGATATGGCAGGTGGCAGTTATCAATAAACTTTTCTCCCTGGAGAACACTTCCAAATCTAACTCTCCTGGCTCACAGAAGTTTGATGATGAGCGAAAAGCTGCAAAGAAAAGCAATTCAGATTTGGATATTCTGACAAGACATTAGCCCCAAACAGTTCTGCTTCCCCTGGAAGCTGAGAAATGCCACATGTGCTCCTCACTGTGGAGAAACACCAAGAGAATAAGCATTACCCTCTTAAGATGGCTCCCCAGTGCTCAACATGGCTTCCTCACCTCAAGGTTTTATGTGTTGACATCTATAACATGCTACATGCTACATGCTACATGTACAGCCTCCCAGGAAGCCGACTAAAGCCATGGCAGAAAGATGAGGGGGGAGCACATTTCCTCCAGAGTTCCCATCTTAAACAAAGTGCTAAAACAGACTAAATCATTGAGGGGAAATAGTTGCTAGCATCAAATTCTAAACCTATAAAAGCTGCTATTAAGAAGATCAAAATATAAACATTGTAAGATGTGCAAAGATCCAGATTTTTTAAAAAAGGCTATAGCAGCAGGTAAGTGTCACAGCTATGGTTAAATAATTATTTACTCTTAAAGAACAGTAACAATCTGTAAATGAAGGAGTGTCATGGAGAAGATAATTTTGCTTTGGGGACAGAAAAACAAATGCAAAGATAAAATTTTCAGCTCTTTATTATGAAAAATGTGCAGGCATACACAAAGGCAAATAGAATATTATAGCAGAGCTTATTCAAGACACCATCCAAAGTCTTTTGCAGTAATTTTGATTTTTGCAATATTTCTGACTCCTATAATAATATCCACATATCAAAACTGGCCGCTGCTGATTACTTCAATATAAGTCTCTAAACTTTTATGTAACCATAATAACCATCATCACAACAGTGCCATAACAATTTCTTAGTGTCATTTCTTGATACCATTTAATATTAATTTATATTCAAATTACTCTGGGAAGACATGGGTCATATTCAAGTTATTCTATGGAGTAATGAAAAATAATGACTTCAATATATGAATTAGACAAAAACGTAATTATGAGATATTTTCAACAACGTAATGACCATAGTTAATAATAACATTCTTGTATTTCAAAATCACAAAGAGAACAGATTCAATACAAAAACATCATCAGTATGTGAGGTGATATTTAAATTAGCCTGGTATGATAATTCCTGAATAAATACATATTATTGGGGCTCAAGGAGTGGCAGGTTTACAAAAAAGAGCAGAAATAAAATTACCTTCAGAAATGAACTACATTAGCAGAGAGGACAAGGGAGGTTTGCTTTCAGTTAAAACCTCAAGAGGCGCTTTACTAAAGAGGGCCAGCTTATGCTAACAGAGAGATACCCTGTTATCGATGGGCAATGTTCCATATAAATCCCCCAAACAAAGAGCTACCCTGGTTTTCCTAAGTTGTGGAGGACACAACTGTTATTCCATGTGACTTAATTCATGCAACATTTCACCCGTAGCCTATGTGCTTAGTACCCAGTAGTACTAAGCCTCTCCTGCAGTTTTGGGGGTGAGGGACTGTGAGGCTTAGAACTTCTTAATTGTCTGTTACAGAGAGGAGGGGTGTGGGAGCAGGGAGAGGAGCAGTGGGCAGGCCTGAGGCCATGCAGTCTTAACTACCTGTTACAGAGGTAGAGAGGATAGAGGCAAGAAGTATGTAGGGCTTCAATAGGTGGGGGCCTGATTTTTCCAGGCTGGGGACTTGGCCTCTTTGAGTGAACAGAGGCTTAAAGTGGCAGGCCATGATCTAACATATACAAAAAAACATTGCACTAATGTCACTGTTAGCTATTAAACGAATGTTTAACTTATTCCCCCCCCCCCCAATTTCTTTTTACAATCACTCTGCTTAGATAAAGGCCTTTCGGAGCATTATTTAAAGTCTTCTATAGTCCTGGACTTAATCTTCCTAGCCTAACTCAGTGGTACCCATGAAATTAATTGCTGAAGTTCTATAACACTTGACCCACATAATATCTTGCAGTTTAGACTTGTTTACTCGTGGTGACAATTAACTTGCTTTCCTGCCGCAACGCTGGTAAATGATCAAAGGCTTAATTAGGCTAAAGTTCAACATGCTGTAAGGACTGGCTATTAGTAGCATCATCAATACCCATAACCTCCTTCCATGAAGTCCATCATGTCAAACTGTCCTTTTTTACTGACCAGTGTGAGTGGTGTCTCTGGGTAGGGCCCATTTGATCCTCCCGTCGCAGAGTGACATTCCTCCTCCTCTCTTGCCCCTTCTACACTATGGCCTTTTATACTTTAGTAAAACTATCTTTGTGTCAAAGAGGAACAGAAAGTAGAAAAAAAAGAGAGAGAATACCACATATCAGAAACAACAACAACCAAAAAACAAGCAAACAACAAAAAAAGAAAGACAGGAGCATGAATTTATTTTAACTTAAAACATAATAAACTAACAAACACATTTTAAAAGATTTAACCAATACGTGAAGCAAAAGTCACCATTTGAAAAGATAAGTCAGATAGGAAAATAGCTTTGTGAGTCAGACTAGGAGAGAAAAGGAAACAGATAAACAGTAATCTATGTAAAAATGAAATATGAAGAAAGCATGTTCTAGAAAACAAGTGAGATTCTGTAGAAATATAAATGGTGGCATTGAGTCCAAAAGAAACTTAAGCATCCTTGTTAATCAAGGCAAGAATTTCATCTATTCAAACTAAATGAACATACAGAAGTAATGACTGATGACGAGACTCACCAGACCAGGAGAACGGAAGAGGAAAGCATCATGAAACCATAGAGAAACTCACTAGAAAAAGCAGAAGAGTTGACTCTGATATACCTAGAATAAAGAGAAGCATCCTATTTTTTTTTTAAAAAAAAAAGCTATCTTCTTGATATCTCCAGCAAGCATTATGCTTGACATGCTAGAATGTTCATTACAAGCAACAGAAATCCAACTTAAAACAGCTTAAAAGAGAATGTACTAGAAAGAAGTTGGCAGTTTTAGAGACTTCATTTTGAGTTGGAAATACCTAGATCAAATGAATCCTTAACTGTATATATATAAAGAGTGTTTATCAGTTTGCAAGAATATCATAACTTCTGAATACTAATATATTCCAAAATATAAATTAAATTTAATCTATAAAATTTCAAACCACATGCAAACCTGTGAGAAACACCTCAGATGCACATGTGTCCTGGTCTTTCGTCTCATTTTCTTCCAGTTGAATGGAAATAAAGGTGATGTAAGGAATACTGTTCCCCATCCCTACCCTCCAATCCCTAACCAATTTGCTATTATTCTCACACAAATTCCAATCTCTTCTCTGACTCACTTCCTGACCCCTACCAGGGCATGGTCACACCCTTTGCTCAGAGTTTGCTTCTAGATGCAGAAAGGTGTTGCCTGAAGAACTTCTGGATCTCTCTCCATGAGTGTTCCTGGGCTGCTGCATGAGCAATGGAATCTCCTCCCCAAAGCAATGGGTTAGCTGAGTCAGAGGTCCAGGATGCAAAGCAACAGGGAGAATAGGGTGGCTCTATGAGGTGACCTGCCCCAGGGTATGCCAGCATCCTTCCATTGCTTCTCCCATGGCTCTGGAGCTGGTTCATAGCCCCTTGTGCATATGCCTTGCTATCCAAACATTCATCATTCTCTCCTACAATGAAGAGGATCCACCCTCGGGCTTTTTCTACAGGAAGTATACTCTGTGGGGTCAACCTATTCATGGGGTCATCTATAAAGGGACGGAGTTGTACAGCCCCTGAAGCATGAACTTGGATGTGTTCCAGAATCCATTGGCTGGGTGGCACAACAAGATCCCGATACCTTAGTGGAAATCCTACGATGGCATTGGGCCCATTGATACAGACAGTGGCAACCACCTGTTTCAGATAGCAGGCCATGGCCAGCCCGATCTCTGCACCTTTGCACACGGAGATCACACCAATTCCTGGTTGTTGGATCTTGAACACAAAGCAAAAAGAAATCAGGTTACATGTTGTCCTCTAGAAAGAAACTCCCCGGAAGGAAGGTTGGGCAGTCAAAACAATAAAATTCTGGCACTTGGGTTTTCCAACTAGTGAGATCCAGAGACTACTACCTATTTAATAATACCTACTCAGAGCTTATCATTTTGTGAGAGCAATACACCAACATCCCAACAAAGGTAAAGCAGAAGAAAACAACCTTAAAAAATAATTTTATGAAGATGACAGAGGCCCTCTAAAAGGAAATGAAAAATCACCTTAAAGAAGTGGAGGAAAAGAAAAGCAAAAAATTAGAAGATGTGGCTGGAGAGATGGCTCAGAGGCAAAGAGCACTGGCTGCTCTTCCAGAGGTCCTGAGTTCAATTTCCAACATCCACATAGTGGATCACAGCCATCTGTAATAAGGTCTGGTGTCCTCTTCTGTACAGCAGGATACATGCAGGAAGAACCCTGTATACATAATAACTAAGAATCTTGGGGCTGGAGATATGGCTCAGCAGTTAAGAGCATTGCCTGCTCTCCCTAAGGTCCTGAGTTCAATTCCCAGCAACCACATGGTGGCTCACAACCGTCTGGAATGAGGTTTGGTGCCCTCTTCTGGCCTTCAGGCTTACACACAGACAAAATATTGTATACATAATAAATAAATAAATACTTTTTTTAAAAAAATAGAAGAAATCAAGAAATCCTGCAAAGAAAGCAAAGAAAAAAACAAACAAAGAAAATTGTTTAAGACTTGAAAACTGAAATAGAGGCAATTAAAAAAATACACAAACTGTGGGAATTCTGGAAATGTAAAATCTGGGTAAACAATCAGGAACTACAGATGCAAGTATAACCAACAGACTACAAGAGATGGAAGAGAGAATTTCAGGTGTTGAACATACTATAGAGGAAATATATTCATCTGTCAAAGAAAATGTTAAATCTAACAAATTCTTAACACAAAATATCCAGAAAATTTGGGACACCATGAAAAGACCAAACCTAAGAATAACAAGGATAGATGAATGAGAAGTCCAGCTCAAAGGCACAGAAATATATTCAACAAAATCATAGAAGAAAATTTTTTCAACCTAAAGAAGGACACACCTATGGAAGTCCAAGAAGCTTACAGAAAATACACTGGACCAAAAAAAAGTCTCCTCACCACATAATGCTCAAAACACAAAACATACAGAATAAAGAAAACTATTGAAAGCTGCAAAGAAAAAAGGTCAAGTAACATCCAAAGGCAGACCTATCAGAATTGTATCAGACTTCTCAACAGAAACTCTGAAAGCCAGAAGGTCCTAGATAGATGTTTTGCAGACACTAAAAGACCACAGATGCAAGCCCAGACTACTATATCTATATCCAGCGAAACTTTCAATCACCATAGACAGAGAAAAGAAGATATTCTATGACAAAACCAGATTTAAACAATATCTATCCACAAATCCATCCTTACAGAAAGTACTAGAGGAAAAACTCCAACCCAAGGAAGTTAGCTACACCTTCAAAAACACAAGCAATAGATAATCCTACAGTAGCAAAACCCAAAGAACACATACAAAAAACACATACACAATACCACCAACAAAAACAAAACTCAGAATAACAGGAACTAGCAATCACTGGGCATTAATATCTCTTACTATCAATAGTCTCAATTCACCTATTTAAAAAAGGCTGACAGAATGGATACAAAAACAGAATCCATCCTTCTGCTGCATACAAGAAACACACCTCAACTTCAAAGACAGACATTACCTCAGAGTAAAGGGTTGGGAAAAGATTTTATAATCAAATGGACCTAAGAAACAAGCTGGTATAACTATCCTAATATACAACAAAATACACTTCAAAATACACTTAATCAAAAGAGATGAAGAAGGACTATTCATATATATCACAGGGAAAAAACCATCAAGATGTAGTTTCAATTCTTAATATTTATGCCCCAAATATAATGTCACCCACATTTGTAAAAGAAGCATTACTAAAGCTTAAATCACACATCAAACCCCACACACTATAACTCTCTCTCACCACTGGACATTCTGGAATGCCAGACAGAAACTTAACACAGAAATAAAAGAACTAACAGAAGTTATAACTCAAATGGGTTTAACAGACATTTATAGAACATCCCACCCAACAACAAAAGAATATGTCTTCTTCTCAGCAACTATGGAACCGTCTCTAAAATTGACCACATACTCAGTAACAAAGCAAACATCAATAGATACAAAAAAATGGAATAATCCCCTGTATCTTAACAGATCACCATGGCTTAAAGTTAGAATTCAACAACAATACTAATTGCAGAAAGTCCACAAGCTCGTGGAAATTGAATAATACTCCACTGAATTACCCCTGGGTCAAGGAAGAAATAAGGAAAGAAATTAAAGATTTCCTTAAATTCAATGAAAATGAATGCATAACATACCCAAACTCATGGGACACTTTGAAAGCAGTGCTAAAAGGAGGTTCATAACACTAAACTCCTACATAAAGAACCTGGAGAACTCTCACACTAGTGATTTAACAGGATTCCTGAAAACTCTAGAACAAAAAGAAGTAGACTCACCCAGGAGGAGTAGACATCAGTAAATAACAAAATTGAGAGTTAAAATCAATAAAATAGAAACAAAGAAAATAATTCAAGCAGTTAATTAGACAAAGAGTTGTGTCTTCAAGAAAATCAACAAGATAGACAAACCTTAATCCAATAGAGAGGATATCCAAATTAACAAAATAAGAAATGAAAAGGGGGACATAACAAGAGATACTGAGGAGATCCAGAGAATTATCAGTTCATACTTCAAAATCCTGTACTCCACAAAATTGGAAAATTTAAAGAAAATGGACAATTTTCTGGATGGGAACCACATACTGAAATTACATCAACACCAGATAATCAATATAAATAGACCTGTAACTGCAAAGAAAAAAGAAGAACTCATCAAAAGTCTCCCAACCAAAAAAAAAGTACACAACCAGGTGGTTTTATCACAGAATTCTACCAAAATTTCAAAGAAGAGTTAATACCTATACTCCTCAAATTATTCTGCACAATAAAAACAGAAGGGACATTGCCAAATTCTTTTTACAAGACTACAGTTACCTTGATACCCAAACCACACAATGATGCAACCAAAAAAGAGAATTGCAGACCTGTCTCTCTTGACAACATTGATGCAAAAGCACTTAAAAAAACATTGGCAAACCAAATTCAAGAATACATCAGAAAAATCATCCACCATGATCAAGTAGGCTTCATCCCAGAGATACAGGGATAGTCCAACATATGAAAATCTGTCAATGTAATTCACCATATAAACAAACTAAAAGAAGAAAAAAAAACATCATTTCATTAGATGCTGAAAAAGCCTTTGAGAAAATCCAACAGTCCTTGATAAAGTTCTTGGAGAGAACAGGGATACAAGGAGCACACCTAAACATAATAAAGGCAATATATAGCAAGCCATCAGCCAACATCAAACTAAAAGGAAAGAAACTCAGAGTGATCCCAGTAAAATTAGGAAAAAGACAAGGCTGTTCACTCTCTCTATATCTATTCAATGTAGTACGCAAAGTTCCAGCTAGATCAACGGGATACAAATTAGAAAGGAAGAAGTTAAGCTTTCACTATTTGCAGATGATATGATTGTATACATAAGTGACCCAAAAAATTCTACCAGAGAACTCCTACAGCTGATAAACACCTTCAGTAATGTGGCAGGATACAAGATAAACTCAAAAAAATCAGTAGCCCTCTTATATACAGATGATAAGTGGTCTGAGAAAGAAATCAGAGAAACATCACCCTTCACAAACAACATAGAATACCTTGGGTTACTCTAACCAAAGAAGTGAAAGACCTGTATGACATAACTTTAAGTCTCTAAAGAAAGAAATTGAAAAAGATATCAGAAAATGGAAAGATCTTCCATGCTCTTGGATAGGTGGGATTAACATGGTAAAAATGGCGATCTTACCAAAAGCAATCTAGATTCAATGCAATGCCCATCAAAATCCCAGCACAATTCTTCACAGACCTTGAAAGAACAAATCTCAACTTCATATGGAAAAAAAAAAACAGGATAGCCAAACAATCCCTAGCTAGAAATAGCTTAAATCCCTAGCTAAAGATAGCCAAAACAATCCTTAGCTAGAGTCTGCGGGAGCGGGAGAAGTATGGGCAAAGGGGACAGGTTGGGGGAAGAACATGAGGTATCAGGAAGGTTGACTTGGGGGAAGAACAGAGAGGGAGAACAACGAAAGAGATATATTGATTGAGGGAGCCATTATAGGGTTAGCCAGAACTGAAATTCCCAAGAATCCACAAGATGATCCCAGATAAGAATCTAAGCAATAGTGGAAAGGGAGCCTGAATTGGCCTTCCCCTGTAACCAGATTGATGACTACATTAATTGTCATCATAAAACCTTCATCCAGCACCTGATAGAAGCAGAAACAGAGATCCACGGCTAAGTACTAGGCTGAACTCCTAGAGTCTATTGGTAGAGAGTGATAACATGAGCAAAGGGATCAAGACCATGATGGGGAAACCCATAGAACCAGCTGACCCGAGTAAGTGGGAACTCACTGACGGCAGACTAACAGCTGGGGAACATGCGCATGATCGAAGTAGGACCTCTGAATGTGGGTGATAGTTGTGTGACTTGGGAAGTTTGTGGGGCCAGTAGTAGTTGAACCAGTATTTATCCCTAATGCATGAACTGGCTTTTTGGAGTGCATTCCTTATGGAGGGATTGGGGGATACCTTGCTCAGTCTAGATATGGGCCGGGGTGCAGGGGGAGCTTGTTCCTGCCTCAAGTGCAGTGACAGACTTTATTGACTTCCCATGAAGGCCTTACCCTCTCTGAGGAGTGGACAAGGAGCAGGAGTGGGGTGGGAGTGTGGGTGGAGGTGGAGGAAGCAGAAGGAGGGGATGGAGAGGGAACAGGGATTAGTACATAAAATAAGATTGTTTAAAAAATAAAAAAAAATGTGAAAAATAAATATTTTCAAGTAAAGTTCTAAAAGTTCAATAAGAATTGAGCAACATTAAACTGCACAAGAATAGAGGCAGTTAGTCTTTATGAAAACTCATATTCTTGATTTGAGGTATCAGACTCTATTGCCTGCCCATGGGAAGCCTTACCCATTCTGAGGAGTGGATGGGGAGTTGGGTAGGGAGAAGGGTTGGGTAAGAGGAGGGGAGGGAGTGGGAATGGGGGTAGCTATGCAAAATGAGAAAAGATTATATTAAAAATTCTTAAAAATGGAAAGGAAAAATTTAAAAACAAAACAAAAAGATGTTTGGAACTAAGAAGACAGTTCAGTGGTAGAGTGCTTGCTGTAGAAGACCCAAGTGTATCCACCAGGACTCATGTTTAAAAGACAGGCAGGGGTAGTGTTGCCCTGTTGTAATATCAAACAATAGGGATTTGCAAACAATGCAAATCCCAGGAGCTCTCTGGTCAGTCAGCCTCATCTGCTTGGTCAGTATCAGGTCACTAAGAAGCCATGCCTTAAAAACAAGAAGGATGTTTAAAAAAAAAAAAGAAGGACATAAAATTTGACTTCTGGCCTCCACGCACCCAATACACACACACACACACACACACACACTCTCTCTCTCTCTCTCTCTCTCTCTTACACATGTATCTGTGCATGCAAACACACAGGGGTGTAGTATATTGCTAGGTTCTTTCAAATATTTGATAAGGAAAATTCTTATTTAAATATTAGTATACAGCTATATAGGTTACCATATATGACTAGCCTTATTAATCTAAGAGCTAACCCTGAAAGCATTGAAGGTAGACAGAGAAAAGGCTTCTTCTCTGTAGATAGCTAAAATACTCAGTTCAGGAGAACAAGGCTGATGGTCCCAAATGGAAGTCTTTCTCTCAGTCTGGTGGACTGAACATGCAGCAGAAAGAAATTTGACAGATGAGTGAGGACAGACAGAACATTCTGGACAGATAGCCACAACAGAAAATGGTGTCCTCTCCTTGAGTATCCAGGGCATCCTTGTCAATGGTTAGAGTGAACAGAAAGAGCGTTAGGGAGTCAAAAATCACTTGATAGTTGGAGCAAAGATACTGCCAGACTGTGTCACTTTCTGGCATCGTAGTCTTGATACATTTCATCTGAGTACGCTTTCAGAGAAGGAGGAGGAAGAAGAGGAGGAGGAGGTAGTGGTGCTGGTGGAGGAGGAGGAGGAGGAAGACAAAAAGAAGAAAAGGAGGAGGAGGAGGAAGAGGAAAAGAAGAAGGAGGAGGAGGAGAAGAGGAAGAGGAAGAGGAAGAGGAAGAGGAAGAGGAAGAGGAAGAGGAAGAAGAAGAAGAAGAAGAAGAAGACGAAGAAGACGAAGAAGACGAAGAAGACGAAGAAGACGAAGAAGACGAAGAAGACGAAGAAGAAGAAGAAGAAGAAGAAGAAGAAGAAGAAGAAGAAGAAGAAGAAGAAGAAGAAGAAGGAGCAGCACTGCTGTTACAGATGTTCAGATGCCCTAATCTGAAAAGCATGGAGCCATAGTGTTTTGGGTCTGGAGTTTTCAGACTTTGAAATATTTGCACAGACTCTATTGGCAGATAAGCTTCACTGTGGAAATCTAAAATCCACACAGTAGTCCAAAATAACTTTTTCATATTTGTGTTGATGGTCACATGTTTTAAATTTCAGATTTAATTCTTAAGATAAGAATGCTCAAGAATGTTCAACCTTGGTATTTGGGCTATGAAGCTACTGTGGAATGTTAGATGGGATGGAGCATATCAAATATTGCTAGTGAGTGTAATGCTTAATAGTCACTGAGCAAATGCAAGGGTAAGGGCTGTGCCTTTATTATTTTACCTTTGTTAGCTTGGACAGATGTAGCTAATATTTGAGGGAACATTGTTTATCTACAAAATGATAGATAACATTAAATTAAGTAGTATCTCAACTCTCAATTCTGAAGATACCATATGATATCTACATTTCTGTGTCTCCTCAGTCACTAGCACAAATATCAACACGTTGGGACCTTTAAAAGTGAACTAAATCATAATTCCATTGGTATTTACTTCCTAGAAAAAGGTAGGTTATGAGGTGTACTAGTCTGTCCTCAAATTTTAATGTGTATAAGAAACATAAAATGCTGACTATTAATTAGGGAATAGACTTTTGCCTTTCTATCAGTTCTCAGGTGATGCTGAGGCCACTGAACCATGGCCCCCATTTCATTGCTGCAGAGATACTAAACCATGTTTTCTAAAAGGACCCCTCTTTTCCAAATTTCTCTCCTGAGCCCAGCTCCTGTCATTGGTTAGTTATGTTTGTCCACCCACTCCCAGCTCTTAAAATAACTGAAGAGCTGGGTCAGGAAATCGGGTTATTGCACCAAGTCAGTTTTGCTGCTAATTACGTTGTTCTCTTGTGCTTCAACTCCAGTACTGAACTTCTGCATTAGTCTTAGTCTCAGACCCTTTAGTGCAACCTCCGCCCGCATCATATCACGGAGAGACCATCACTGATGTGTGAAAGCATCAGCTTCAGGGTTCAGGATCAGTGGCAGATAGAACACTGAAAAGCCACTTACGAATGTATTACAAGAGCTTTAAATGTAACACATCTTGGTTTTTTCCCACGGAAGAGAATCACAATCTGGGCTCCGTGTATTTATTGTCTTCTGTGTGCCAGTAAACAGGAATTACTAAGCAGCCTGTCTCTCCTATCATTCTTAAAATGTAAGCTGTGCTCTGCCCAAGGCTGGACCGATTAGACCAGACATTTGTGGTTTGTCTGTCCTATGATTTTATGAGATGAATGGAAAAGTATTTTAACTACCTTGGGATGAGCTAGTAGGAAATCAGCAGCTTCTTCAAAATACTCCAAGTCGGTCTCCAGCAATTTGTCAGGCAGGTCTTCATAGGCAAAGTATGCTAATGCCAGCACTGCAAAGCCGTGGGAAGCCAAAAGACTGGCACGGAATTCAATTAGACCTCCAATAATTCCGAACAAGTCAATAATTCCTGGGAAAGGACCTTCTCCTGGGAGAAAATATAAACAAGGAAAGGGGGTCAAAAGAGAGTTAAGTACAGCAGTAAAAACAAAGTCATGATTTGCATACAGGCACACACTGGTACACACTCTCATACACGCTTACACATGCATACACACACACACATCCACATGAGAGTGCATGTTTAACTCATCTGAATTGTTATTTCTAGTGCAGCTTCTGAAACTGGGGTTGCAGATCCCATATGGATCTATATAAGTGAATGTGGGAGAAATCTGACAATAAGAAATGATTCGAACATGCAGTGGCCAAAGTTTAACTCAAAAATAAAATGAGAAGTGGTCCCAAGGTGTTTCTGCTGATGCCTACCAGACTTCACTTTTCCCTGGTTCTGAAGGAACAGCAGGCACATCTCTACATGTGCAGGAATAGCTCTAATCCCAGATAGCTGCAGCCTCAAAAGCCTGGACTCAGAGTCAAGTTGATTTGCTGTGTGTTATGAACCACAGTGTTTTTACTACACACACAGGGTTTTGCTCATATAGATACCTAGTGGTTTAATGACAGAAAACAAGGACTTTTAATGTGTCCCTCCTGCCATTCTTCAGCTTGTGTCAAATTAAAATATCCCTATTTTATACTGTTAGAATGTCTGATTTCTAAACATTTACTGCTCCTTGATTTACTATCTTGAGTTTCATAAAAACTTATTAAATGAACTTTGATTTAGAATGAGGATTTTGACAGGTTTTTAAATGCATTAAGCATACATATGCAATTCTGCATATTTATGTGAAGCAGATTTCTTAGCATTGACAACTATGGAAACCAAAATATCAGCCAGTCCTGGAAAACAATAAAGATAATCTAACCATGCTCTATAATCTCATATATTCAACCAAAGTTTAACTCTAGGCAAGACCATTCATCCCATCAATGTGTAAATTTGCTTTCTTCTTTAATAAATGGTAAAATCATGTGTACACCAAAGAACTGTTTTAAGAATCATTTTCTATGCTTTATTTTCAGTAACTCTCTGTTTTCTACACGTGTTTCATATATTTATATACCCAGGGTCATGCTAAAATTACCTCAGCAAGGATTTTTGGAGCCCATTCCCTATGGAAGAATACCTTGCTCAGCCTAGATACATGGGGGTGGGACTTGTTTCTACCTCCATGTGATATGACAGACTTTGTTGCCTCCCACGTGCATGGGGGTAACTTGGGGGGAAGGTGGAGGAAGTGGGAGGAGGGGAGGGAGGGTGAACTGGGATTGGTATGCAAAATAAAAAATAAAATAAAATAAAATTTACTACCACAAAAAAGAAGTCACAAGTAGAAAAAAATATGTTCTGTAACAATGAAGTTTATTCTTACCTGGAGGGAGAAAAAGGGCTCCTCGTATGCGACCTTCTCGGATCTGCTTCCTCTGAACCCCAGGGCCTACAAACCAGCGCTGCACTATCTGACTGGCCTTGGGTCTAGTTGTGGCTGAATCTTGCAAGCAAACAGAGTCATACAGGTCAAGAGTGATACAAAATGGGCTGTTCATCACCTCTTTCTTCATCAGCCGCTGAAAAGGCCGCTTGGGCTTCAGAGACCAAAAGAGGCCCATTGAATGAACTCCTACATAGTCACCCCCCAAGGCTGCTGCCCGTTCCAGGTCCACCTCTCCAGCCTCATTGGACTTGTAGAAGGCTCTGGATTGGAACAGATTCTCCTTCTCATCCTTCAGTGTTGCCTTGATGGTCACTATCTGCAATGGAGGCAGACCAGTTGCTCGGATGGACACGGGTTCATCCACAAGCGCATTTGAGGGGCTGACTATGAGCTGGATCATTGGCAAGCTGGTGAGTGGACCGAGCGGTGCTTCGTCACTGCTGTGAGAGATGAAACTGAGTTGGAAACTTAAAGTCCAAAGAAAGACCAACACAAGGCTGTCCTCAAGTCTGACCAAATGGAACTTCGAAGGACTTTAGTATAAAATGTGTAGAACTGGGAGGAAAAGGGAGAGGAAGAGAGGGGAGGAGAGGAAGAGAGAGGAAACACTGGTTATATGTTACATTGCTGGATTGAGCTAAATGGCCTGGTGAAATCTGGTAAAAAATGGAGAGCAAAAGAGTGAATTCAAACGAGATATGACCCCTGAGATTCATGTCTTGGCTATTATAACACTGTAGTTTTGTGTTTTGAAAAACATTGGACTTTAATGTTCTGAAAGTATGCCTACCATGGGGTGTTTGTGAGGTGTTAAGCGAGGTGGCACATGGGATACAGCTCCAAAACAGTACATCCCTCCAGCCCATTCCAGTCTAAATTAATCAAATAATAAGTAATCTATCACAGTGGTGATGTAACTAGGGCCACCAAGTCCCCTTTAAAGGTTCTTGGTTTTCCTGGTAAAAGAATTTTAAATGAACACAGAATTGGAATCAGAAGGAGGAAGAGCATCCTTGAAAGGAGACTAAATACAGAGAGAAAAAATTAGACTTTTAAAATCACACTTATTTACTCTGTGTGTGTGTGTGTGTGTGTGTGTGTGTGTGCGCGCGCATGCGCGCGCGTGCTTGCATGTGCATGCCTGGGTGTATTGTGTGGTCAGAGGACAAACCATGGGAGTCAGTTTTCTCCACCCATCATGTGTATCCCAGGGACCATACTCAGATTATCAGAGTTGAAGGCAAGCACTCTTAACCTACTGAGTCATCTTGCTGCCTGGGAAGTTACACTTTCTAATAAAACAAAATTAAAAACATCTTGGAAAGACAAGGCAGGAAAGGAAAAAGAGGAAGAGGGCTCTTCAGATTTTTGTTCTTTCCCACAACTGCCAGTTCCCAAGTAATCACTCAGAGTCTTAATATTGATGATAAATGCTCGGCTGATAACTCAGGCTTGTTACTAGCTAACTCTTAAATTTAAATTAACCTGTATTTCTTACCTACTCTCTACCACAGGGCTCATGGCTTGTTACCTCATTTTCTACACGTCCTGCTTCCTGAGCATCAGGCTGGCAACTCCTCAGTCTGCCCTTCTTCCTGCCAGCATTCTCCTAGTCTGGCTCTCCTGCCCAACCTTATTCTGTTCAGCTGTTTCCCAATCAACTTCTTTATTCAACCAGTCACAGTGATATATATTCACTCAGTTTAATGATTATTCTATAATGATTAGTCCCTTGCAGCTTTAATTGGAAAAGTATAAAATTTCCCTCTTCCAAAATTGACCCAGACCTTGGGCATGAAACCAGTGTTCCACCCCTTAGGACTAACTTAGAGAAAATATTTACCTAAGTATTATTTGGTTTATAGTCAAACTTAATGAAGCAAACCTGCAGTCCCAGTCTTTGAGAGGTAGAGGCAGGAGGATCAACACAAGTTTGAGGACAGTCTGGGCTACATAGCAAGTCCCAGGCTAGGTTGAGTGGTCACATAGTAAGACATTGGTTTTCTCTCTGTGTCTCTGTCTCTGTCTCTCTCTCTCTCACACACACACAAACACACACAAACACACACACAGAGATGTATATGTGCTTATGTATAAACATATAATCTGGTTGTCTTAGGATTTCTATGCTGTGAAGAGACACCATGACCATACAACTCTTATAAAAGAAAACATTTAGTTGGGGTCGGTAGACAGTTTCAGAATTTTAGTCCATTATCATCCCGGTGGTACATAGTGACATTCAGGCAGACATGGTGCTAGAGAAGGAATTGAGAGTTCTACATCTTGACCCACAGGCAACAGCAAGTGAACTGTGTACCATACTGAATATAAATGGAATGAAGGGAACCTTAAAGCCCACCCCACAATGACACATTTCCTCCAAGGCCATACCTACTGCAACAAAGCCACACCTCCTAATAGTCCCACTCCCTTTGAACTTATAGGGACCAATTACGTTCAAACTACCACACTAGTCTAACTTTGTGTGAACTGAGAGTTCCTGTGTGGTATCAAACACACAATGTGCCTTAGACAACAAGAAATACTGTTTATTTGTCGTTATCAACCTGTCTTTAGTCTTGTGCTTGGAATGAATACCAGTATTTTGCTGCCATCCACTTACCTTGAGTTTTATTACCTTCAGGCCAGAATGGAACCACTAATTATGTTCACTATTCTCGGTTTACTCTCTGGCTTTGGGGCCCATCTAGAGTCTCTGGTTCATGTTTAAATTCACAATTAGTCACAAGTAGCAAGTCAATCTTTATCACTTGTTGAAAGGCCTGTGTTAGGTTTTGGGTTTGGTTGGTTGGTTGGTGTGGAGGGCCGCAACCACATTCTCCATTACTTTAAGGTCTCTGTGACTTCAGGGTGTGGCAGTACACACCTTTAATCCCAACACAAGGGAAGCAGAGGTAGATTAACCTCTGACTTCAAGGGGCAGAGGCAGATTGACCTCTGTGACCTCAAGGTGTAGTAGTACACACCTTTAATCCCTATGCCTGGGAGGCAGAGACAGATTTCTGTGAGTTCAAGGTATTGTAGCACACGCCTTTAATAACTTTCCACTGCTGCTGTCCCTGCCTACTCCCGAGGCATCATCTGGGTTGATGGGCAGCGGACCAATCCAAGAGTGACACGTCCGAAGCGAGGACTGTTTCCTATATAAGGGATGGTTTCCCCTCATTCTGGATCTCCGCTTTGGAAGCTTATGCTCTCTCTCTCTCAAGACGCATTAAAGCTTTTCTGCAGAAGGATCCTAAGTGTGCCTCGTCGTTCTTGCTGGCTAGACGGTAGCGCGGGACAGTTGGTTGGTTGGTTGGTTTTGAGATAGGATCTAATCAGCTCAGGAAGATCTTAAACTCACTCTGTAGCTAAGGCTTGCCTTAAACTCTTGATCCTCTGGCCTCTACCATCTCCCAAGAAACTGAGTTTCTTTTTAATATAACAGTGGAAGGACAGTGCCCGAAACACCACACACACACACACACACACACACACCCCTTAAGAAATAGTTCTTTTTCCTTGGCTTTTCAAGTAGCTGAATATTCCACCTGCCTCTGAAAAAAACATATTTTTACATGCAAAGTAACATTTTCTCCTTGGCTATTTCCTATTTTACATTCTCTCCCCCAGAGAACTGTGCATCTAGGCTTTGCTTTCCTTCTGTGCAGACAGAGGGTTTCCCACTTATCAGTATACACCTTTGTTTTGCATTTCCCACAAAATAAAATGAAGGACCTCTGTAGAGGAGGCACTTCCCGCTACACTTCCCTTAAAGATGCGGCTGAATAAACTATTCGTACAGTACCAATGTCATGGACACTTCCTTTTGGACGAGCTCATTTGTCCTTCCTTCTATGAACCTACTAACTCCTTCAGTGAGACTAGCCAGGGCAATCACCTGCCAGGCAGACCTTTCTCCTTTGGCTATCTAACTCTGCTGGGAGCTAGAACAAGAAACCGAGGACAGTTTCTCCCCTGCAGCAGCATCACTGGATAATCTGGGCCCTTTGTCCTCTTCCTCTCAGTAGAGGACATTAGATCTTCCCTGGGCTCATCAGCTTGCAGGACATGCATGTATCAGCCTGGGTTTACATCTTTCTAAATAGAGAACAGGAGATGGTTTGACTGGTTGTTGATTTAATATTTTGCTTTGATTCTGAGAGCCGACCATTTTACCTACAGAGCCATAAGACACAGAGTTTTCTAATTTTATTGTTATTTTAGGATGCCCTGAAAAATATCTAGTGTCATACTAAACATATTGCATTGGAAAGTTTGTATTTCAAGTTTTTCTGATCGCATCCCTCAATAAATAGGGAGCAAATTTACTGGAAGAAAAAGCAAAGCTCCCTTTATTTTTGCCTCTGGTCTACCCCAAAACATTGCTCAATGTCTATTCTTTGCTCTTTTGGAATGGAATAATTCCTCTCCTGATCAAGCCCTGGAATAATGGTTCTCATTTAGAAGGTTGTACAGGTAAATATAAAAGGAAGGATATGCAAGGAGACGGGTCTCAGAAGGCTATAGTCTGTAAATGTTTATCTTAGCGATATAGCTGTTGTGTCTCAGATATTGAGTGTTGATATTTTATCTTTTAATTTTTCTAGGGACCCTATTAAATACTTTAATTTACTGATTCTGACTTACCAGGAATTACATATAATGGTCAATGTTCTCTTAAAACCACATTTCTACCTTTTACACTGAGGTAAGTGGAAGGACTTAAATTATAGTGAAACGTTATATGTAGAAGTTGTCCTAAGAGGAAGTATGTGGTTTTGAAATAAGCAAATGTGTGAAATAAACAGAGAAAGGCTTGTTGATCAGCCAGCTGAGTATGCAGATGAATGGTGTCTCAGGTTTTCCAACCAACAAAGCGTACAAAGGTTCATGTGACTGGTAACCCTATAATCATAACACCTGGAAAGGGAGCTAAACAAAGGCACCTCCACAGGTGGGTAAGGCATAGTGTATGTCGGTAAAGATGTGGTAGGAATTCAAGCCAATGTTCTAGGGCTTGTCTTTCTACAAATGATTATCAGTTTGGCAGACCTAATATATAATCAGGCCTATTTATTGTTTTTTTTTCATTATTTAACACCCTCTTAGAGATCCAACAGACACAGAAAAACATCTAGGATTAAAATACAAATACACACACACTAATACTTTATACACTTCAGATTCAACTAAGGGTCTGAAGAATGTTAGTCTTTCAAAAATATTACTAGGGTTTCTGCAGGGGCTTTTAATGTGTGTGTAGGGAGGCAGGGACACATATTCAACTGATTGTGATGCTGGTATTCACAATGATTGATAGTGTCTAAGTGGCCCTGTTAGTGATTTCTCTATAAGTCTCTCACCTGTTGGGGTCTGATGCTAGCCCGGACCCTCAGTTATTTCTCTTGACCAGACCCCAACATAAACTATCTCTCTGGACTGGCGTGGAGGCACAGAAATAAAGACATGACTCACATGATTTCATTGGGAGGGAGATTCTCAGAGATCTCTCATGATATCCTGAATTCACATCCTGAAAAAATTCTCTTGTTTATTCTCTAAACAATCTTTATGCCAAAAGTTAACTTAGGGGAGATACATTAGCATTCTGTCCCCTAGGTAACCAGGTGAATGACTTTCAGTCACATCCACAACTACCTGTCTGCTGTGTATGCTAGCTGTCATGTAGGTGTGAATTAGCATCTCTATCAGGCATCCTCCAAATTACAAAGAAAAGAGCAAAACATCCTGACCTTTTGTTAGGTTAGTGACAGCCTGTCTGGAAGTTTATGTGGCCCTTCTCAGGTGTGGCTTATGGCTTGATAGCTTGGTTGTCATACCATGTGGAAATATGGGCCTACAGTTCACTCTTTCTTATTAATTTTAATAAAGCCTGTGCCTCTGCAACAGGACAGAATGATCATGCATGGCTTGGGCAAAGATCTCTTCATTTACTCAAACTTTCTCATTTTTGGATCAGGCATTCATATATACAAGCTCCTGTCTTAGGCATCTGGGAAGGAGAAGCTTCAAACCATCATTGACTGCTGATCTCTGTGAAGAAAAGAGATTAATGGAGAGAGATACTTTTTGAACTCTGTGTCTTGGCGCCATATTTTTTGTCAGGATTAATTATAATGCAGGATAAATTATAATGCTTTATGAATAATCATGCTCCCAAAGGCTACAGTCTCCTATTCAAAGAAGAAGAGAATCACCTGAGTTGAGAATGCTTCTTCAGCTAGTTTAGTGCAGCTCTTAAATCTTTTATGTTGTATCAGAACATAAAATTCTTAACATATGTACTAACTCCCAACATTTACAGGGTGTGTCAAACTTTTCTCAGCAGTTGACAGGTCAGTATCGTAATTCTCAGCACTGTTGGTCAATACCAACTTTCCAAATATCTTTGTCAGTACAAAATTCTCAGCATTGTTGGTCAATACCAACTTTGCCAAATCTTTTTAGGTCAGTACCATGATTCTCAGGATTATTGGTCACTACCAACTTTTCTCAACATCTTATATACAGTTACAAAATATCAGGTCAATACCGGTAAAAGTACAATGAGTACTGTTATCAAATACCAGTTCCAGTCTCTGAACAGCAGTTAAACCCTTAGTCCGCCCCCTTCTTAAAT